GAAAGCTTGCAGCATAACTTTCTTGCAAGAAGATGTACTGATATCAAACAATATAAGAAAGGAAATTGCAAAAAAATTGACGTTAACGATTTTTCAGTAATGGGAAGATTTACAGTAGATTACAAGTGAGTATATATGTATATTTTTAAAAACATATAACATAGAAACAGAAATAAGCCATAAATCTATTAAATAAATACAAATGGCAAAGAGTAGACAAAAAGTAGAATTTTAAAAATAAGACATGTTTTACAACACAGCCTTATTTTGTTTGTTGATATATATTAACCAAAGCATATATACATAATTATATAATATACTACCGTTAAAATACATAAACATATGTAAATATTTATTAAAATTTCAAAAGAAAATTTTAACAAAATTTCTGATATTTGCTGTAATATTATAAAGAATAGTATGTTTTATTTGAATATTTAAATATTAATCACACTTAATTTTAAATTTTTTTTATAATATTTTTTTCAGCCAGGTCTCTCTAGATCTTACAAAAGTAGCAACTATTCACGGGTTTAATGCACATAAAATATTAAAATATTGACAAAATTTGTTAAAACTGTTTTCTAGTTAAATCTAGAGATATATTCGCCTGACAACAAATGTATGCAAACGTCGCTTCTAGTCGAAAAAACAGGCTATCAGTTAATCAGGCATCATGAGATTTTTGCATCTAAGTTTGCAATAACTGTTTCTTGAACACATATGTGCTTTTATGGAAACTTTTTGAAAATGTTTTTAATCTTACATAAAATTTCGGTCTACCTAAGTGATTGAAATTAAGAAAAATCTTCCTGGGAACAGTGCAGGATGAACTAGCCTAATATTCATCTTCCAGTGGAAAAATAAGGAAAATATATCAAGATAATGTTAACTGTGACTGTGGACAAATACAAAAGATGAAAGATCTTCTTACATGCAGAAACTGTTGTCATCGGTGTACCTTTGACGATTTTTGTCTCGTCAATAAGGATGGAACCGATGTAGCTCAATATTGGGCCGATATTAGGTATATGAAATATAGCCTCTTAGGACTATCCAAAAACAGTAGCGGTATCTGATACTCCACTATTAATCCACATTATATTTTGGTTTGTATACAGACGGCTACTAAAACTAAGCTGGGTCGTCAGAAATAGAAATAAGAAAATCCTTAGCTGACTTAACCAAATAATACAATTGACCAATATAACAAAATAACGCAAGCTATAGTACTTTGGTTAAATAAATAGATACCCTTAAAAATATAAATTTTGGATCCTATCATTCAGGACAAGATTTAAGGTAAACGCGATCTTAGTAGAAGAAGAATACCATAGCTGGAAATAAGACTAAGACATTGGTACAAAAAGTCGACTGCATTGTAATTATTAGCTAATGCTGTCAATAAAGTCGCGATAACGAATGTGGTAACCAACATCATATGCAACGATCAATAACGATCATGGAACTAAAACAAAAATAAAATACGGTTCTACTACACAGTGCTTTTCAGATAAAACTATCCACCTTAAATACCTTTTGAACCTCTAATTTTTTGGAAAAACGCAAAAACACGTCAATTAATATTTGAAGGGGAAGGACGTTATATCATATTAAAGGTTGCTGGGAAATACACCATTTCACCCCCGGTATCAACCGTTTATTTTTTTTTAAATTACTTTCCCATTTTTTAATTTTATATTTGGATTCTACTTTTTATGTTGATTTCAAAAATGTATAATACCTTTGGCTTGAAGTGATTAGTTTATGAAATAGATAATTTTCCTGTTAAGAAGGATAGTATCTCTCTCACCTTAAATGACTATAACAAAATAGGTTGTAGCATAATTTAAATTTTTTAAATATTTAACCTTACTATTTGAAGTACTTTAAAAACCAAGAAATAAAAAAATTCACTTTTTATTAAAGTTTTATCAAAGGTTAAAAATAACCTTTCCGAAGATTTGGTTTATTTCAACATGATGGAGCTTCTCCACACTTTGCTTTACTTGTGGGATAATTTTTAAACGAAACTTTTCTTGGTCCTTGGATAGGGTAAAGACGATAGATGATCGATTAACCACCTAGGTCACCGGATTGAACAACCTTGACTTCTTATTAAAGGGCGTTTAAAAACAAAAATTTATGCTACTCAACCACAATCTCTAGATTATATACGACAAAGAATAGAGGATGAATGTCGACACTTAAATGCAGACGTTGTTAAGCAATGTCACAAAAGAATTTTAAAATAAATTCTACTATTGTATGGAAGTGAAAGGCAGTCATTTTGAACAAATATTGTAAATATTTTTAGTAGTGAAATGTTCATTCTAAATGTGTGTAATAAAATTGTTAAAAAAATAATTTTTTTTTCAATCCAATTTTCTTGCTTTTGTATTTGTTTTTCTCATAAACTAATCACTTCAAGCATCATGTATTATACATTAGTGAAATCAGTACAAAGAGGAGAATCCAAATCTCGAATATAAAAAGGGGGAAGTAATTTAAAAAAAATTAAGAGATGATGCAAGGGTTAAAAGGGCGAAAAAATTTTTTTAACCTACGAAAAAACTCTTGTGCCTTAGGACCACCACTTAAAGACAGGACCTAACTTTAACATTAATAATGTAAAAATCTTGGAACAAGTTGATAATTATAAAAATCAACTTTTCCTTGAAATGGTACACATTAATAAAACTCCTGAATCTATCAATTGTAAGACAGACACCAACCATAGTGTTTAGTAACAAAAAAGAAGATTTATTCACCATTGATAGATGCCTGAAAAAATGTAACAAATACATGGAAAATTCAAAATGTGATATTTTACTGATTGCATATATAAATTACATAGAAATAATATAATTATAAATTTTGCTTAGATTTTGAATTTCTGACCTTTTGTTTAAATTGTTATCACTTTTGCTAATACAAACCATTTCCAAAAAAGTAGTTTTAATTTTATTACTTTTACTACATAAAATTTTAATATTATAAAAATCCATAATATAGTCTTTGTCTATTACATGCTCTGCCGAAGCAAAAGATGGTTTCTTAATTTATATTGTCAATAACCTTTAGTGTTTGTATTAATTTAGGAGTTAATGATGGTATAAAAGGTAGTGAATGATTATATATCATTAACTCCTAAATTAATACAAACACTAAAGGTTATTGACAATATAAAAATAGCAACAAAGAACATCAAAACCATTTCATCTTTATATTCCAAAACTAAATATCCTATAGATCCAACAACAGGACAGTTGTATTTATGTATGTTCTTACTGCCTTCTCTCTACAATATGGTAGTGTATCATCTTGGATAAACCACGTATTTTGCCTTAAGTTTGATAACAATTGTGCCAATAAATCAATAAAATCATTTTATAAAAAATATAAATAAATCTCATTAGTCAAATTACAAGGTAATTCACATGTCCGTAAATAATTACCAAAATTCAGGTTAAAAATGCATATCGTATGGTTTGGTAACATTTGTAATTTTTTTAGGGATATGCAAATTACCTTGTAATTTGAATGGTGAGAATTATTTTATAGATTTATTGGAAGAATTGTCAACAAACTTAAGGCAAAATATGTGGTTTATGCACCACCACATTATAGAGAGAGAGCAGTGAGAACATAATTAAAAACTTTCCTGAACTTTAGATTGTTCATGGTAGTCATATTCCTTGGTCAACTGAAGAGATATTAATATAATTGTTTATTTCATAGAATTATCAAACGAATACTTTATTATTATATTATATTTATTATATATTATAATACTTATTATAAATATGAGACTATATTTTATGGAATATATTGACAAATAAATTAAAGAAACTAGTGGAACACTTACTTTGACAAAAAGTTTAATGTTATCTAATTTAACTATTTCCTAATTTGGTTTAAAAATAAAATATTTTGAATACGACTTTAATTTCAAACAAAACGTAAAATATTATTTTATTTTATTATTTCGTCAACTATTAACTTTGTTAAAGTCATTTTATACAAAAATTCAGTAGTATTCACGTTTTTGTCTAACTTTCTTGCGTTACCTGAAGTAATTGCTTTAAATCTAAATTATGTAGTTGATTAGTAAATCTCAACTGCCTTACATGTTAAAAACCTATTTTAACAAAAAATATCAAATGAATGTTTCTCTAAATTTAGTAATTTTGAAAAACTTTTTAACAAAAATAGTTTTTTTTATTATTGAGTTAATGCCCCGACAACTAAGATCATTGAAATGGTACAGTTAGGTACCTAGTGTAGTGTGTGAGTGTGTAGAGTAATTGTTTTAATACCTAGCAAAGTCGACGTCATTGTCTTTGCTAAGACACGCTAATTGTATCCGAACGTCTGCGGTCCTTCCGGTGAGTACCGATCGCACAAGGATAGAAATTATTTTCATTTATGAATTTTTAATAAACGAAAATTTCCCCACCCAGGTGGGATTCGAACTCACGACCTTTAGGTTCAAAGGTAGGCGCTCTTACCACTGAGCCACAGAGGGAGTTCACAAAAATAATTGAATTTGTAAATTAGTCTGAATAGCTACCAATTACAAAAAGCCTCAATATCATGCCAACTTACAGTTTTCATTTTTGATAATTATATTGCCAAAAAATAAAATTTTGTTTACAAAATTCTTTTTTTTTTTTTAGTAATAAAAATAAAGATTAATTCATCATTGATAGATGTCTGAAAAATGTAACAAGTATATGGAATAATAAATTAAAATGTGATATTTTAATGAATAAACTATAGAGAAATAATTTAATGATAAATTTTGCTTAGATTTTGAATTTCTGAACTTTTGTTTAAATTATTATCACTTCTGCCAATACAAACCATTTCTTAAAAAGTCCTTTTGAATTTATTATTTTCATTACATAAAATTTTAATGTTTTCAAAATCCAGAATATAGTATTTGTCGATTACATGCTCTGCTAAAGCACAAAATGGTTTTTAAATTCTACAGTTACTTTTGTAGGAAATACTACGGTTTGACAGATTCCGTCCAGTCTCACCAACATACACAGCTTCACACTGAATACAACTAATGCTGTATACTACATTTGTTTTATCTAATCTAATATAAAGATATATA